GATCCTATTGATAGCAGCCATCAAATGCCTCACTATCATTGCATAATGAAGCTAATATCACTATGAAATAAGATAATGAGCTCTCAAAATCCATGGAGCTCCCCAAAACTTTTTGACAGATCAAAACAAAACTCTGAGTAAAAATAGTGATAGAGAAACGTCTCTTAACCATTTTGTAATTAGGCAGATTATCTGATATATATTCTTGGAACTACCTTGTCTGTTAAAAATGTATAAACATTACATACTAATATATAAATATAATTTTCTTAAGCAGACAAAAATATAAATGTGTGTTTATATAAATATATATATTTTAAGCAGACAAGGTAGTTTCAAGAAGAACCTTAAATATTTGTAAGTGGTTTATTGCAAATGATTATAATTGAAATTCTAAATTATTTATAATGCAGAGATGTCTAAAAATAATACTATGATTTAAGTACTTATCATTTTTATTTTTAAAATGATTACCATTTACCAAAAAAATAGAATGTTCTAATTAAAAATGAATTATTTTCCCTTTCTAGACACACTTTAAACAAACCATTTAATTAAGTTCACTCTTGATTGTCTGGGAGCTGGTTACACAGTTTGTAGATCATTCAGACACTCTGTTTCTCTTCTTTCTCTGGCTACTGTCTACCTTCTGTTTGTATCAGAGCTCTGCAGCATCCTAATGGGGTTGGATGATAGAGGGGGAGCAATGGAAGAAGCAAGTTAGATGAGTCAATGTTTTTCTTATTAACATTAGGAAAATGTTTTGCCCAAAAGCTGTTAGTTAAAATCAGGCTTTCAATGTACTGTTGATTTTAATTTATGGTATGTGTGTTTCTCATTAACTTGGGGGAATCCTAAACTTAATTGAAAATAAAGGCAGCATGATATAGTGAAAAGCTTTGAAATCAGTCACAGTGGGGTCCAAATTCTACCTTTGTTCTTGCTTAACCATATGACTTTGGCAAGACTTATTTCTTCATCAGTTCAAGGAGGATGAAATATCTGTTTGGCAGAGGTATGAGAATTAATAATTTATGTTAAAAATCTAGTATAGAACATATTTTTAATTTTCACCTGAGAGTGTTTTATAGTTCACTAGAACATATTTAATATCAAAAGCCAGTTCCTCGATTATATTAAGATTACTAAGTATACTGTTATCAGAAATGTCAGTTTCCAAAGTTTTGATGCATAAATGTAATAACTAATTACTAACATAATTCTATGAAGCTGACAATCCCAGCACATAGAAAAACATTTGCCACTTTTATTCAGTGTATAGGCGATTTCCATCAGAATTAGGAGATAAACCTTAATGCTGAGAGGGTTAAAAGCAGAAAGTCTAGAGATCCAAGTTCTTTTTCAGGTTGTGTTCACTATCAAGTCATGTATAAAAAGACCTCATCTTACGTACTTTATGGACTAGATGTGATCTTGAAATTGCTTATAAATAAAATTATTTTTAAAAATAATATTTATTTGGGAGGCCGAGGCGGGTGGATCACGAGGTCAACAGATCGAGACCATGCTGGTCAACATGGTGAAACCCCGTCTCTACTAAAAATTACAAAAAATTAGCTGGGCATGGTGGCGCGTGCCTGTAATCCCAGCTACTCAGGAAGCTGAGGCAGGAGAATTGCCTGAACCCAGGAGGCGGAGGTTGCGGTGAGCCGAGATCGCGCCATTGCACTCCAGCCTCCAGCCTGGGTAGCAAGGGCGAAACTTCGTCTAAAAAAAAAAAAAAAAAAAAAAAAAAATTAATAATAATATTTAAATATATTAGAAATCCCTGATATTCAAAGAAATTAAACAGAAACTTCTGATGGGTGGTTCCTAATATGTATTTGGATTTATTCAAGATAGTTATCAATCACGTCATAAAGATGATACCTCTTCTCATTCCTGCCTGACCTGTTTCCCGGGACTCCTATGTGAGCCCGGAACAAAAGCAGTTTTTTAAATGAATTCATACTCAGGTATAGTCACTTTGAGAATACATCTCTGGAAAAATTGTTTATCAAGTGTTTTATGGTTTATTTAAAGTTATTTATTTAAAGAAATTCAGAGAACACAGGGGTTAGTACATTTAATAAGGAAACAATTGTATTAGGTAGTGTTGAACTGTCAAATGGAGTTGAATCACGGATCAGGCAGAAGGTAGTATTGACTTGGAGAATTCAGCTGCAAAAGAAGGTTGTTATACCATCTATCGTCAACAACAGAGGAACGTTTATTGTACTTTCCAGATAAGGAATTGAGATGCATAAAGATGAAGAGAAGTCAACAAAGCAATTAAATATGGTTGAAGGACCTTTTAAAAGTCAGACTTTCATTTTCTCAAATTTCTGTACTTCCACACATTTTAATTGAAAACAAAGCAAACATGTTTTGTCATTTTTGATCATGATCAGCAGAGCACATAATAAAGGATTAGCTTAATTATTAATCATTGTAGTGAGTGTCATTCATAGTAAATGCACTTTCATTAATAAATTAAGGCTGTGTGGTTTTCCCAGTTTATCCTGTATTTTTCAGGTTACCCCAGTTCACTCAAATCACAGCTAACTTGCTCTTTGACCAGCTTATTAATTGTCTCTTACAGAGGTTCCCAGGTTTTAGTTGTCACGATAAGAAGTCATAATGAATCTGAAGACTCACTAATTATCATTCTACAGCAGGTCCTGCAATAAATTGTTTCATTCAGTATTTTTTCATTATAACATTGTGGAGAAAAAGTAAATTGATTCCTGGCTGGGGCCATTGTCTTCTTGGAGTTTGCACCTTTGCATGTTACCCACCCCCTGGCTGCATGGGTTTTCTCCAAGTACTCTGGTTTCCCTCCACAGCCCAAAGCTGTGCCCACTGGGTAAACGGGCATGTCTGCACAGTCTCAGTCTGAGTGAGTGTGAGTGCACCCTGTGATGAGATAAGATGGTGTCGTGTCCAGGGCTGGTTCCCACCTTGCACTCAGAGCTGTGAGGAGAGGCTCTTGCCATCTGCCACCCTTAACTGGAATAAGCAATTTGGAAAATGAATGAATAAATGAATACAAATGATTGCAAAACAAAAATTTGTAACATACAATAATTAGGCAAATTCATAACAATAAACAATGCAGTATGAAAGCATGCCTAGTGCTTTCATATGTGTATTATTGTGTGTCTTTGAACTGTGTGTGGTAGGATTTGATGTTAGGTAATACACTACCATATGTGTATTATTGCTGGTCTTTGGACTATGTGGTGGTAGTTGTTCCTGGCAATTGTCGTACTGCAAACATTTGTTCACTGATTTTACCCACCACCACTGTGACTGTTGTCACTCACTCATCCACCAAAAATTGGGTAAATATTTGTCTTCCTTGTCTGTATTAATCTTTCTTAAATGTATATATAGCTCACATTCAGTGTTTAATATTAGAAGTGTTTTTGTTCTTTATGTAGAAGTTTGGTGATTTTTTATGACCATAAACATACCATAGCAACTTAACTCTTGTTTATATAATAACTAGTCTATAGTAAAATTGGTTTTGTTACACAGCATTTTGCTTAAAGTCACAGTTTCCAAGAACCTACTGATGACACTGAGGACTTACTGTTAAGTGCATGTTGGACAAAACTGTACATGTAATGAAAGATTAAATATTTATTAGTCTATTAATTCAAAGGTGGGAGAGTATATCCTGAACATGGTCAGGCAGAAATATCAGTGAGTAGGGTCTGTGGAGAGAGACAAAAATAGAGACAGAGCAAAAAGGGAGGTGAGATTGTGCTAGTATTTAGCTACTTCTGACTTTTGACCTTCAGTCTAGAGCTATTTCTTAAGTGAACATGTAAGTTAATTAAGAAAATGCACTTAAAGATTGATGTTTACACAAAGACTACTACAGAAGTGGAAAAGCAACCTAAAGAAAATGAATTTCAGGAGAGTCAACTGCAGTAATTTACATATATTATAGGAAAATGTCATGCAAGTGGAAGGACCCATGAAAATTAGATTATTTCTTAAAGCAACCATACTTATAAGGATGGCAAGATTGAAGAGAACAGGATGAAACCCAGGTAGCTACACAGAGCTGCACATTTAAAATGCCCAAGAGTGAAGATTAGGAATTCGAGTAAATATTAAACCAGAAATAAGGCATATCCATGATGGCATAAAAAGATGAAACCAGGAAACATATGGTGACTGGAAGGTAAAATACACTAAGGGATGGAATAGTCTTTATGTATGTGTGAGAAGAAAGCAAGACTGAGAAAACACATCCTCTTTATTAGATGCAAAGGAAAAGAGAATTGGTTCTAAACCAAAAACAAAATCCAGTTGTCTTCAAAGAAAATTTTGCCTTCATAGTAAAATATAGGCTCTCATCTAAAAAATGGAAAAGGAAACAATGTGGCTGAAGACAGGGAAACAAATTAGACTTGGCAGGGAATTGATCAAAGATCATTTAAATAAACAGGTCTTGATGACTTTCACATTAAAATGCCAATTATTGATGATTCAGGCTTTCGGCTGCTAAAAATAACACTTTTTTGATACAGTAGAAAACTGTACTTGGTGATTTTCGGATCACTCTGAGCTGTTAGTACCTGCTTCATTATGTTGTGTGCTGAAGGACACAAAATGAAAGTTTATTTTTTGTTATGAGAGTAGCTCATGATCATTTTTAATGCCTGCATTTTTATAGCATTTTTCATTTTTCTTTATAGCCACAATAGTGTGATCTCCCATATCCTGTTTTGGAAGAAAATGTTCACCTCACATTAAAGTGACAAGCATTCACAATAAGAAGTATAGATTTCTCTCAAGTGAGAAAAGCCAAGTTGTTTGTCCCAAAGCTGCCAGTGACTCAGGGCATTAGTGAAGAGTAAACCAAAGGATAAATTCATGATACACTACTGACTTAGTTTTAAAAAGCAAACATTTTATTTGGATCAATTAAGGAAAATATAATTCATAGTTAAAAAAAATTTACACAATCCTCTCCTATAATGGCCGTTGAAAATTTTATGTCCATGATAGAAATACAAGGCACAACTTTCTATTTTACAACCAAAGGATTTGAAGAACCTGGAAAACTCTTATGAAGAACTACAACAGTCATTTATTAGCAACTGAATAATGACTGTATTTGAAACTTAATATATATTTTTTATTAAGATATCTGAGGTCGACTCAATTAATTCTATAGGGAATAAGATGTTATCTGAAGATAATTACTTATCTGAAGACAACCAGCTTTACTAGCAGTGAAATTGCTAGTGGTAGTATTACGGCTTCTTCGTTCCCATGTTTGGTGAGCGAGAGGGAGGGTTACAGCTCTTTTATTCCTACCATCTGCAGCTCAGTGAATGAGTGGGTTGCAGCTCTTTTGTTCCTGCTACCTGCAGCTTGGCAAACAGGAGTGTTACAACTCTTTTGTTCCTGCCATCTGCAGCTTGGTGAGTTACAGATTCTTGTCCTGCAACAAGAGGAATAAGGTGTGGGGACACTGAGAGTAAGGCAGAGAAGAATTTTATTGAGTGACACAAGGAAAGCTCTCAGTGGCAAGAGGGAACCCTGAAAGTGGATAGCCCTCTGTGAGGCTGAGTCTGGGCTTTTTATGGGCTTAGAAAGGGGGAGTGTGTGCTAATTGGTCCATGGGTGGTCTTGGAAAAAGCACCATTCGATTGCTTAAAAGGCATCATCCAGAATGAACCAACTGAAAGAGAGTGGGTAAGACAGGGATAGAAGTTCTCACTCTGGTAGTGGACTCTATTGGGAACTGGCAGCTAGGTTTTCAGGCTTTAGAATGTCCTTGGCTTGAAGGTTGGGTTTCACCAGGGACCTGTCCCTGTCTGCCTAGGAATTTGTCTGTCTCCTTTCACTATCAGTAGAATATTGATAGAATATTTACAGTTTTAAAAAATAGTTAAACAGAGATAGATTTCCAGTTAAAGTCTACATTTTACCACAGGGCTCAAGAGGAAGAACTACACCTATTTTAAAAATGGTTCTTATATCATTTTTATGACAGCACATCAAGCAATAATAGCATTGGAAGTAAGACTGGATTCCTGTCCCAGTGGGTCCCCTGTGACTTTGAGCAGGATGCCTCAATTTTCTGGTTCCTGGGTTACCCTAGAATTGATGTCCATGAAGGACCATCTTGGGCACTCTGATTATATGCTGTATTTTGAATATGAAGAAAGTTTTTGATAAAGAATCTAAGTAAAAGATCTAAATGCACTAAACTGCATACCTTTATATAATTTGTAACATAATATATAATGTGAGAAAACATGTCTATATTCTTAGGGGAACTTGAGTGAGGAAATGTGGACAGCAAATCTATTACATTTCCTTTTGGCATGTAGGTTGTTTGAAGACATTTGTAAGGAGATGCTTCATAGGCCCATCAATAGGAAATTGGTTGTGGGACATCCATGTGACATAATGGTACCCAGTCCCCTAAATAAAGGCTTCCTGGATACAGGCTAGGCATGGTGGCTCATGCCTATAATCCCTGCACTTTGGGAGTCCAAGGTGAGCAGATCACCTGAGGTCAGGAGTTTGAGATCAGCCTGGCCAACATGGTGAAACCCCAACCCTACTAAAAATACAAAAATTAGCTGGGGGTGGTAATGTACACCTGTAATCATAGCGACTTGGGAGGCTGAGGCTGGAGAATCACTTGAACCTGCAAGGCAGAGGTTGCAGTGAGCTGAGATCGTGCCACTGCACTCCAGCCTGGGTGACAGAGCAAGACTCTGTCTTAAAAAAAAAAAAAAAAAAAAAAGACTATCTGGATACAAAAATAGTACAAGCAATACAAGTTCCATTAAAAAAGAAAAATCACACCATGATGTCTAAATGGATAAATGCATTGTCAATAGTGGTTATCCTTTGGTGGAGAGATTATAGTTGACTGTTTGTCTGTGTCTCCACATGGCACCCCTCTCCCCTGGGTGCCTCTCTTCTTAAGAGGATACCTCTCATAGTGGATTAAAGGCCTAATTCAGCATAACCTTGTTTTAACTATTTACATCTGCAAATCCACCTTATCTCTAAGTAAGGTTGCATTCCGAGATACTAGGGGTTAAGACTTCGACATATTTTTTTGGGGTGGGGGGACACAAATCACCCCATAGTGATCCCCATATTTCAAATGTATCCAATAATTTATTTATGTTGAAAAGAATCTGCTCATGAATACTTCATTTTCTGTCTCTCAAGATATAAAGTAACGTTGACTCTTCCTTTTCCCCTGTATCCAGGGAGTCCCACATTATTGAGATTTTCTGGGATACAACATTTCTCAAATATCCCCTTTGCTATTATTGCCACTCCCTAGTTGAGACTGTTTCTAGTTGAGATATTAAAGTATATTTCCAATTGGACCCTTTCCTCTTTTTTTTTTAATACTTTCTATTAGTAGTCTGTTTTATATGCTTCTATACGATTCCCTATGCAATCCATTCCATTTCTAAGGTGCATTTCTGATCTTATTGTTCCCTATCTCTAAAACCTCCAATGGCTTCCCTGAATGAAATTTCTAAAGCTTACTTCTTTGTCAGTCAAGGTCATCCATGACTTGACTCTTTCCTTTTTATCCAGTCTTAGTTCTCATGATTATCATACACAAATTCTGTGCTCTAATGTAGCCCGGCTGCTTATGATTTTCCAGAAAAGCTGTACACTTCTCTGTATCCTTAGTTTAATGCATGCTGGTTGCGTTCATTGAAATGCCTTCCCTGTTTCCCCTTCATACCTATTATATTAGCAACCACTCTTCAGTGTCACCTGAAATACCATCTCCTACCAGAGCTTTCACCAATTCCTTCATTTAGATGCTCTGTCACCTTTATTTGAACTCCCAGGTGCACACCTGAGCATGTGGACACACATACCTGCACCTCCAACCCCTAAATTGTAAAGCCCTTGAAGGCAGCATGTGTGTCTTGTCCATCTTAACATTCCCCTCAGTGGCCTAGGATGCTGCCTTGAATCTGTGAGCCCTCATTACAGGCATGGAGTTGTTACTGATTAGAGCACACAAGAGAGTGATGTAGGGTTCAGAAGGACGAGCTCAGTCAACAGGAATCAGAGTGCAGATAACTGAATATGAGAAACAACCTGTTAAATTTGTGCGATATTTTCTGGGGGAAAATTATGCAGCTGCTGTAGGGAATGACACCTTGGTGTCTCTTCTCCCTCTGAGCCAGGGTTCTTTTACTTATCCTGCCCCATTCCATCCTCGCTATATGAAAGGTTAGGTTGTAGCTCCTTTGAAAATGGTTAGAAGATGTGACCATTGGTTCAATTTCCAGGACACATAGTTTATCTGAATCAAACTCAACTTCTGTATGCAAATATCACAAAAGTGAGCAAAGTATTTAACTTGAGAATTTTATATTATCTTCCTAAATGTTATTTCTTTTGTTAAAATTACCAATATGAAAAATTGTGTTTCAAATTACAGTAAAGTACATAGGCTAAACTTTAAAAATGTAATGAGTGATGTCAGCATTTATTAATGGAAGTATCAGTTGAGGAACTTCCACCAGAATATATACTAAATCCACTTGCTAAAATGTCCTTTTCTAAATTTCTTGAAATCAGTATTAGTATGCAGTGCATTAAGATAAGGCCAGATGCTTAGTGATGAGGGACACAGGCCGTGGGTTTTCATTCTGTCCCATCGCTAGCTTTGCCCAGGTGGTTAGCCATTCTAGATGCATGTTTTCTCAGTTGTAATTTGGGAAAACTAATACCTATCTCAGAGGTTTGTTGTGAGAATAAAATGAGATTTTAAAAATTATTATTATACTTTAAGTTCTGGGGTACATGTGCAGAACGTGCGAGTTTGTTACATAGGTGTACACATGCCAAGGTGGTTTGCTGCATCCATCACCCCGTCACATACATTAGGTATTTCTCCTAATGCTATCCCTCCCCTATGCCCCCACCCCCTGTCATTTCTCCCCTAGCCTCCCATCCCCCAACAGGCCCCAGTATGTGATGTGCCCCTCCCTGTGTCCATGTGTCCTCCTCGCTGTGTCCATGTGTCCTCATTGTTCAACTCCCACTTACGAGTGAGAACATGCAGTGTTTGGTTTTCTGTTCTTGTGTTAGTTGGCTGAGAAGAATGGTTTCCAACTTTATCCAGGTCCCTGCAAAGGACATGAACTCATCCTTTTTTATTGCTGCATATTATTCCGTGGTGTATATGTGCCATATTTTCTTTATCCAGTCTATCTTTGATGGGCATTTTGGTTGGTTCCAGGTCTTTGCTATTGTGAACAATGCTGCAATAAATATATGTGTACCATGTGTCTTTATAGAAGAATGATTTATAATCCTTTGGGTATATACCCAGTACTGGGATTGCTGAGTCAAATGGTATTTCTAGTTCTAGATACTTGAGGAATTGCCACACTGTCTTCCACAATGGTTGAACTAATTTACACTCTCACCAGCAGTGTAAAAGCATTGCTATTTCCTCCACATCCTCTCCAGCATCTGTTGTCTCCTGGTTTTTTAATGATTACCATTCTAACTGGTGTGAGATAGCATCAAAATGAGATATTTTGTATAAAACATTTAGTACAGTATCTGGCACTTAGTGATTTTTCAGTGAAATGAGGTGATTAATAATGTTAATATTGTTATTATTAAGTAATATCAGATAATTTGAGATTTAGTGGAAGCACTCATCAGTTTTACTTGCATTCATTGAACTGTTTTAACAGTGCTTTAAAAGGTCAAGGGAGAGATAGGGAATAAGATAATTAATTTATCTTTAATTGGCTGGCATGCTGTATTTAAATAAAGCTTTTAATTTCAAAAGATAACTGTAATTATAACAGATAGGTAAGTTTCAGGAAAAGTAAAGACTTTTAAAGCCTCCAAATTGTCCCTCAAGTAATATCAGAACTTAATGGTGAAGTGCTTCTACAATATTTTAATTTTCATCTATTAATGATGGTGAGTTCACTATTCAGCTTAGTGTAATATCAGTAAAATGTCAAGAATCAGTCTAATATTCTTACTCTTAGTATTAAATGATTTTATAAGTAAAAGAGATGGCCTCTTACAAATCAATAAAAAAGCAGCTTTAATAGATGAAGATAAATGTAATGAATAGATGACTCACAAAGGAAAAGTGTGAAATCAGCATGAGAAATAAGCATTCTCTGTAATAAAGGAAGTATTTTTTTTCTTTCTAGCCTATTATAATAGGAAAACTTTTTAATATAGAGTAAGGATCTAGTAATGTTGATTACTTACCTAGAATATTGGTGGCAGTGAAACTGGTGCAATACTATTAGAGACGGTTTGGGAAGATGTATCAAGAACGACATTTATACTTGTAGACCCCCAATTCTATCTTTGGAAATTAAACCTAAGAAAATAATACAAATGTAGAAAAGTGTATTTGCCATGCAGTGTTCATCACAATGTTATTTAAAATGATGAAGACTAGATAGAAGCAGTATTAGTGCTCACCACTATGGAAATGATTAAGTTAATCATTCAGTTATACGTTATTCAGTCAACACACATGTATTACAATACATGTACGACCATGTACCAACTTGAAAAATGCTTATAGTTGCGTTGAGAAATACAATATAACATTATATGTATGCCATAATAAAGTTTTATAAAAATATGCATGGAAAAAGCCTTAAAAGCCTAAATAATAGTAGTGATGACCTAAGAGAGGTGGTATCATGATTTTATTTCCCCTTTCTACATTCTTTAAAAATTTTTTTGCTATAGCTTTACAACAAAATTCTACATAAAATAACAAAAAAGTAATTCTTTTCTCATTGAGATTTACTTTTGGGCAAATATATTCTTGCCTTGTGGACAAATTTATCTTGGCCTCTGGCTAAAGCTGAATGCTTAAATAGGTGTTAATTGGCCCTAGATTCAGCACTAGGGAAAGAGTAAGACATCAGAGGTTAGTACAAGTTTTGATTGGGATAATTTATACAGTGAAAATTCATGTCCATGCTATTCTGGTGAGTTTTCCCTTAAAAAAGGTTAAAGATTTTCTTTTTCAAAAAAGACTAAGAATGGCAGGCATTTTAAATAATGAAAACCTGATAATAGAAACAATTTCAGCATATACCAAGCACTCCTAGCTTCCATGGCCAACATCTTAAGCACAATTAGTTTATCTTGCTCTGCAATTTATCATACTGCTTTTCTGTCAAAGTATATGAGATTTTGGATTGCATTTAATTTTCCAAAGATTTTTCACTGAGTAAATAGGAAGGAATCATAAACATGTGACATTGTTTGGTAAATAAGTCACAGAGTTAGGAAACATTTTTTGAAAGCTCATTTAAGACCTTCTTTTAGCCAAACCCAAAGGTCACTTTTTCAATGACTTTTGAAAGTCTGAGGCAGGTGATTTCTCTTACTTTGAAACATGCTCTCCCTTTAGCTTCAAGGAAACTATACCCTCATGATTTTCATTCTCTGTTCTCTCTTCTCACAATATAGTCATCTAACAATCTATAAAATATCTAGCTAATATCTATTGAGTTTTACCATGTAGTTGGGATAATTTTAAGCACTTTACAGGTATTAATTCAGTAAAGAGTCATAGAAGCCCTTTGGAAAAGATAGAGTCATTGTCCCCATTCTATAGGTGAGTAAACTGAGGCACAACATAGAGGCAGACTCACTCAAGTCCTTTAGTAAATGGCGGACCTGGGACTGAAACTCAGCAGTCTGATTTCCTAGCTTAGGTGGTTTACCGTGGCATTCTCCTGCTTCCTACAGTGCAGATAAGAAACACGGAGAACACTGAAAACTCAGATGTGGTTTAGTGTGGGAAGGCATTTCTAGGAGAAATTCAGAGAGTGAAAGGTACGCAGCTGTATGATTAGGTGGCATGATCAAAGGATATGTTTTAGAACACCTGTAAGGCTAACAGTATACCACCAAATTTCACCAAATTGCCACCAAATTTCAGAATGGTAGAGCTGAGTTTCTGGTAATATTCTTAGGCAAGATCCTGCTGATTTAGGGCAGTGTTGGCCACCATGACAGTCAAAGGATGCAGCAGGGTTGATTTTGAGGACATGGGCTTTCTGTGGGGAACAGGATTGGTTCATCAGCTCCGCTAACTTTGAGGCTTTGGGTTTATTTCTTGACTTCAGGTCCTGAGTTTTGTTTCCTTCTCTGTAAGGATGTTACTGCCCCATTCACCACTCATTAAATAACTTGATAAATCATACTGGCTATTCATACATAGCTCATTCAGTAATTACATTAGAAAATATATTAAGAGCTTACAGCAGTGTCTTGCATAAATGCAGGCAGAGTATAGGACTGACATTCTCTTATGGGAATAATGGTGCCTGGCCAAGAACTACGTGTCTGTGAGTTGAGGGAGCACCTTCAGACTGTTTAGTTTTTACCCCAGAAAATTGTTTCAGGTTGCTCCAGCATGTGGCAGGGGCCAGCATTTATCATCTGGGTAACCTTGGGCAGTTACCAAACCTCTCTGAACTTCCATTTATTGATCTGTTAAACAAGGATAATGACATTTACCTTGCAGGGCTCTGATGAGCATTGAAGTCAGATAATAAGGTCTTTAATCGCTAAGCGACTTTCTTATTACATTAGTATTTGATGCCATTTAGTAAATGTTACCTTTGGAAATGTCTTTGGCTCTGGTTTCTCCAGTTTTCACTTTTATTGCCATCTTCTTCTGAGCTTAGCTGCTGCTTCCTGCCTTTCAACGGGATAATGAAATTACAGAGATTTTAATTCCCCAAAGTTTAGAAATAAGGAGAAGCTCATCAAAGAAATTATATTCTGAAAAATAAGAAAGGATAAAAAGAATTTTATAAAACAGAATGTCAGCTGGCAGGAAGAGATATTTCTGCTGGTTTAGAACGAGGCAAACCTAAGTAGGAATAGACACAGCACTGACATTTCAGAAAGCAATGAAGTATTTGCTCAGGGACCTGTGAGGTAATTTGTCATTTTGGACTTTTAAAGGAGGAGTCAAGAAAGCAACAGTAAGTAAGCAGTTGGCTGACTTGGGAAACTGGTGTGCTCAAGAGAATCTCTTTTATTTGTTCAGTGCAGGTAACTTTCAGTGGATGAGAACTTTAAAGGGTTTTATTTTGTGAAAACATTTATTTCAGGAAGAAAAAAATAGTGTCATATTAATCACCTTGAGTTTTTTTTGTGGTTTTACATAATGAATGATTAGTGTGCCAGAGGACTCAAAAATGAGCCTTGTTTCTAATGATGATTCTATATAAACCTTACCAGACGGATGGATTAGTTCAATGAAGTGGACGTCTTTGGAGATGCACTATGAGCTAGGACATGGTGAGGAATGCAAGACAGCCCCATCCTTCAAGGAGTAATGAAGGCAGAAACAGAAATGAAGTGGGGTGGGACTGTTCAAAGGTACCAGAGGTGTGGGGATGGTAAATGCTGCATCACTGGTGTACACAAAGTGGTTTGGGAACATCGGGGAGGAAATGAGTATTCTTAGGAAGATGACAGAAAGCCTCACAAAGTATGTGGCACTTGAGTGGACATCTGAAGGTTAAGAGCAATGTAAAAGACGGGCATCATCGTATAAGGATATGAAAGCTGTGGGCCATTTTCGAGGGAGAACTGTGGTGTGGCCAGATGGGCCGCCTGGCTGCACAGGAGGAGTGCTAAGAGATGATGCTGTAGAGGGAGATGCAGGAAGGAGGTCAAAATGACTGGTGGTTTCTGCTGGGAAATGGCATGGATCTAAATTGGGAGCAAAAGGAAGTGGGTTTGAGGGAAGAAAAGCTAATTCGAAGTGGAGCATCCCAAGCAAGGTATATTGGAGAGAGAGGCAGAGAGTAGAGGGAACAAGAAAAAAGTAGAAAACCCTTAGAAACAAGGGCCAAAGAAGGAACCTGCAAGTAAGACAGAGAGAAGAGAGCCTTGGAAAACAGTCAGAGGTGTAGGAAGAGAGCTGGTGAAGTTTACTATTAGTGAATCCCAGGACAGTGTTGGGTCAGGGAGGAGACAACGTTAAGGCAAGCTAGGGAGAGACCAAGTGGAGGAACTGAGAGCCCGGTAACCAGGAGGCTGCTGATGACATTCCTGGGAGTGATTCTGGAGTGGAGAGAGCAAGAGCCAGGGTCCTTTGGGATGATGAATGAGCAGGGAGTCTAGGGGTGAGGACACATAGGCAGAAAATGTCACGTAGTGAATCCTTTCAGCAGGGAAGAGAAGAGAAAGAAGGAAAGAGTTTAAGGACGTGGTTATGTGTTTGTACGTGTGTGATACAGGAGACCCCCGGAATATGTTTGTGTGCTGAGAGCTGAGAGCAAAGCCAGGAAGGAGGGAGCAGTTGAGGGTGCAGACAGAGGGGAAGGACTTTCCAGAGGCAGTGACAGCGGCTGGCCAGATAAAGAGCACGGATGGGAGGGCTAGTTCCTCTAGAAGCAGGACATGTTTTTCCCTCCAAGACAGGAAGGAAAGACACACGGATCAACGAGGGTGAGAAGGAGGAGAGTGAATCACAGGTGTGCCCTGGTTTCCAATCTCTTCCCTGAGGGAGCAGTGGTAAATCAAAATAGCATTTATTTTATTTTATTCTTTTTTTTCCTTGGAGTTATTTAGCCTTGCTGTTTGCTTTTTAAAGGAAATAAAGATACGGTACCAGTAAACCATTGCAGGTTTGCAGAAACCAGTCATCATCCATAGCTGTCGCGCATGCCAATCTGGAAATGGTTTTCTTAAGGGAGAGAATTCCGGGTCACATCTTTCCAATGTGTCTCTCATATAATCAATGTCAAGACGGTCTGAGATCAGAACTGGTGATGTATTTAAAGGGCTGACTGGTGTTTATGTCCTGCTGGTTACATTGTAATTTGTAATAATTATTTCAGCAGGCATTTACTAAATGTGTTATACAAAACAAAAATAAAATAATATCTTGGTAAAAAAAAGCTGCAGATGTTAATATCTAATGTTCATTGTATGAGGTCAAACCATTTAACCAGTTTTGATCTACAAAAAGAGAAGTTTCATGGAGTTCAATATGATAATAAGGTTGGAAATGTGGGAGATTCTGAGCAAGTGTATCCTTCCAGTGGACACCAATGAAGGGCAGTGTCCACAGTGGGTAGGTGCCAGAATGGCAGCAGCAGAGAGGGCTGGGAACATGTCTCTGCTTGATCTGTCATTAGCTGCATAACTTTGGATGTATGACTTCATCTCTCTGAGCCCCAGTTCTCTTATTTGTTAAATGCAGTAATGATAGAATCTATTTCATAATATTTTTATGAGGATGAAATGAGATAATTTGTGTGGTTCTTAGCAATATGCTTGACATGTAGTAAGCACTCAATAAATAGCTAATAAAGTGAATAATAGCAATAATAACTTAAAATCCATTTAGCTCTCTGAGGTTTTTGTAGAAGCATCTTGTTTTTAATAGAGGACGTTGTATGTAAGGAAAGTGCTGAAAATGGTAGAAATTAGTATACACTAAATCCAGTTATGTTTATAGCTTTCTAAAGTCTTTCTGAAGAGGTTGTCTTAATATGGTTTCCCTGGGCACCTAAAAAATATTATGCTGTTCTGATCAGTGTGTGGGCGAATGCTTTGTTTATACTTAATTAGTTATATTCTAGAAGCTCTCTGAATTGAGTGAAGGGGTGAAACACAACTCTGTGGATGTTTAAAGGTCAGTTTTATTCATTATGCTATAGTAAGGGTTATTTCCTTTGGTAAAGGGATCCAAGTTGCCCCGTTCTTATATTCCTGACTGTGGCTGCTACTTACTTTTTATAGGAGTGTCTAGAGAGGTAGTGATTGATTTTAAGAAGAACTGAATGCCACTACCAAGTTCCTCTCTCTTGTGACCCTGAGTTCATTTAGCTTCCATTTACTCTGGTTTACCTCTTAGAAAATGAGAATAACAACAGCTTCCCTTATAGCTTGGGGCTATTTTGAAAACAAATGAGGGGAAGTGTGGTATTTAAGCATTTATTTAGGCAACACACTTTTATTTTCTGCTCCTAGAGGATTTATAATCTGATGGGGCAGATGTATGCACAGGTACAGTATAAGAAGGTAAATACAGTGAAAGACAGTTGCCGGCATCCAGTAGAACCCACAGGTCTTAGATGGCCCTGGGGCCTTCTCACACAGGGAGGTGGTATTTGAGGCTACTACACGCTCAAAATTTCAAGGGCTAATTTCTGTTTGTTATACTCTACAGCGATAATACAAAATCCTGGTTTGGCTCTCTGCTTCCTTAATGCTTAATTCCTTAATTGAATTTAATTTTATAAATACATATTTGCTAAATAGAATTTCTAGGCATTGGCTCAAGATTCATCTCTTTTAAAAAAGTTGTCGAGTACCTTTATATGCTGAGCATTGTTCCAGGTTCTGCTTGAAATACAGCAAGAAATAATAAATAACTTTTGCTCTTAAGATATTACGACCTAGTTGAAGATTCTAATGCATTAAGGCAGAATGAGATAAGTACAGAGATATGGGATCTTATAGAGGCCAAGTTAAAGAAATGTCTATAAGATGTTGAAAGTTTCGTAGGAGAGATAGTAGGATCTTATCTGGATCTTGGCAAGTAAATGGGACGTGGAAGTGAAATGAGTAGTACCAGCGAAGGCAGGAAACGTGAAATTGCATAGATTCTTTGGGTAGTTGGATGGCTAGAGGGCAGAGCTTGTGAAGAGATGCAATGAGAAATAGGTTGGAAAATGAGATGGGGCTATATTCTCCACTAAGATTGCTAATATGGAGTTCTTTTTCCTGTTGTCAATGGAAGATCTAGGAACATGTTTTACTACTATTTAGGTAAAAGAATAATACTAAACTCAAAGATCAGGCCCTCTCAGTGTGCAGATGAGCAATGTTTAGTTCAAGATAAACGAAGGAAAGCTATTCTGGAATCTTCCCTTTCCACACAAAACTCAGAGAAATATTTAAAAGGAATGATTATAACATCAACAAATTCACATCTGTGCTAATAGAAGAAAGCAAATGGATTAAACAGAAGCACATAAAAGCACAAGTGAAATTTTTCTCACATGAAATAGGAATTCAGTGAGGAATTACAAAGTCCTGAGAAAGGCCTCCGTCATGAAAGAGATTACCATTGGTTATTACACAAGGACTTTCTCTCAAGGAAATAGAATAATATGAAACAGACTTCAAACTGAAGGTATTTCATAGCTTTACGGTGATAAATGTCTACACATTCATAAAGAAAAACAAGTGTTTACAAAATAGGAGTGGACATTTATGAAGAACCTACTTAAAGATCTTGGAACTAAAAAATAAAACTTAAAATGAAAAACATGACTGATGGGCTGTATCACAGCCTGGAAACAGCTTAATATTACATCAGTGATTTGGGAGATCAAGGAATTTTCCCAGAATACAGCACAGAAATAAAGATATAAAAATGTATTTGAAAAATTTAATTGACGTGGCAGACGGATTCATAAGCTCCAACATCTATTTAATGAGGTCAAACAACAGAAAGTAGAATAAGGGGGAATGTAAAAGAAAGAGTTGAATATGTGGGACACATGGAATACTTGCCAAATGTCTAGATATTGAGTGTGAACATGCGAGCCGAAGAGAGTCCTAAGAGAGTAAATGGGTAGGTGAGGGCGCTACTGAATGTGGAAGAAAAAGAAATTGGTGCGCAAAGCATTTGTTTGCTTTGAGACCTTTGGGTTTAGAGGTGCTGGAGAAAAATCTCTGTGGACATTTGTATCCAATACTAGAAACTTTAAGTCTGCAAGCTCAGAAGAGAGGTAGGGAAGAGAAAACAC